TCTGCTATGGTTTGCACATGGTTTATTTGTCCCAGCCAAGTCTCATGTTGAAATTTGATCCCCAATGTTGGAGGTGGGGCCTGGTGAGAGATATTTGGATTGTTGGAGCAGATCACTCATGAATAGCTTGGTGCCAGTCATGGGAGCACATGAGTTCTCACTCTTAGTTTCCCAGAGAACTGGTTCTTGAAAAGAGTCCAGCACACCCCACCTCACTTCCTCTCTTGCCATATGATCTCTGCACACACCAGCTCCCCTTCGCCTTCTATCATGAGCTCCCTGAAGCCCTCATCAGAAGCAGATGCCGGTGCCATATGCTTCTTCTTCAGCCTGAAGAACCATGAGCCAAATAACCCTCTCTTCTTTATAAATTACCCAGCCTGAGGTATGCCTTTATAATAATGCAAATGGCCTAAGACACCACCCGATTTGAATCTCCTCCATGGTGGATGCCCTTTTGTGGATACTTGCATGGGACACAGTCTGTGCCCCTTCTGAGAGGTCATCCACATTTCCCTCACTCCCCAAACTTCCTTGTACCAACCTTCCAATCTTGTTGTGAGGTAGTTATTGTCTTAGTCTGTTCAGGCTGCTATAACAAAATATAGTAAACTGTGTGGCTTATAAACAACATAAATGTACTTCTCACTGTTCTGTAGACTGGAAAGATCAGGATGCCAGTGTGGTCAGGTTCTGGTTAAGGCCCACCTTCTTCATAGATGGATGTCTTCTCACTGTAACTGAACACAGTGGAAAGGGCTCTGCCATCATGACCTAATCACTTCCTAAGACCTGATCTCCCAAATGTCATCACATTGGGGATTCGGTTTCCACATAAGAATTTTGGGAGGACACAAATATTTAACCTATAGCAAATTGTTTACATAACCCATTCTTGAGAAAACTGAGACTTGGAGAAGTTTCTTGCAAAAAGACAAACAGCTAATAAATGGTAGAATACTCTTACCAATCTGCTATTGATGAGACTTTGAGGTCATTAGTGATTAAACGGTACCAAAAGGAACAGAATTTGGAGAGGCAGGCATTTCAGTCTTAGTACCAGACTGCCTTCCCCAAAAGGCAGACCTGTGCCCCACCAGACTTAGGCAGCTGCAACTTACTCTGCACCCATTTTCTTTGTTCAAGGAAACACGGGGAGAGAAATAAAAAAAAGTCACAGAGCCCCAAATAAATAGAGAATTTCTTTAATAACAGTAATTTTTAAAACTCATGCCTAAGTACATATCTATTTCCTATTAGCTGGGCTGGTTTGGGCATTGCACATCCTACAAAGACAGAACTGTGTCTTCCTTCAGCAGTGCTGGGCATCACTGGGTGACAGGTGACAGTCATTGCCCCATCAGTGAACTGTGGGGAAGCAGAGGCAATGGCAGGGCTGGCTTAAAACCTTGATACCTCCCTCAATTCCTCTCTTCCCACAGCACAGCCATGCCCTCCAGTGCTATCGCTTCTCTCCTCCTTGTGTCTTTCATGCTCAATGTCACCTTCCAAGTCTACCCCTTCACATATCAGGCCAGGTCCCTCATTAAGTGCTTGTGTTCCATCCAACCCCCATCAGGTCCCCAGAGCAATTCTTCTAAAAATACTGTATAGCCACATCTCTTCCACCTCATCCCTTGCCCTTGGTGCTTAACAAAACAAATCATTCCTAATCTTCAAGATAAGATTTCATATCCTCCTGACTTTCAAGCTCTAATACAATCTGTCCTAGGAGAGAGATAAAAGCCCATCACACTTCAGCCACAAGACTCACCTCTCCTCCATGCTGTTCCATGACTCTGTAGCGATAAAAGAACCACCAGGTAGCCACTCCACCTTCCAGACAGAACTTCAAGAGCTAATAAGGCCCTTCCACCATTATCCAACTAGCCCTCTTGCCCAATAAACCAGAAGCACGAAGCTCTCATAGGTTGGCAAGGCCCCTCCACCCACCCGCAAATCCTCCTACCTTGTCCCCAGGTGGAGGAGGGACCACCCCAACAGCCATGGGGCCCTTCACCTTATGACTGAAGCCCTCTGAAGGCTTCTGAGCTGCTGAGAAGGAAAGGTGGACATCATATTACAGAGTTACGTGAAGGTCAGGTCCCAAAGAGCCCAGAACCGAAGCTCTGGAAGTATTGAACTTTCTCATAGCAGCGCCTGGAGCCCACTGGTGCAGCTGCTCCACCCACCCTAATCGCCTGCAGAGACCAACCCTATTACGCCGCTTCTGAGTAAATGTTTCAGGACCACACCACCAACGCCACCTTTGCACACAGTAGTAGAGATGAATGCAGAAGTCCCTAGTCATTCATCACTCTAGACCCCCATTTCTTACTGATCACTCTATTCATGCCCCCGTTGGCCCAGCCTCCACTCCTTTCCTTCCCCAATCCTCCCTCCTTTGTCCTCTGTACTCCAGCAGCATAACCAGCAAACACCGCCTCCTAGCACCCCTAACCCGGAACTCTCCCTGGGGACTCCACATCCCCTGCAGCTCCATAAAAGGGAGGTTCTTATTTTCACTCCCCACTGTGAGCCCCCTGACACTCTCACCCCTTTTCTCCTGCCCCTTCCCAGTCACTCCCTGCTGAAGTCGCCCACACTGGAGGTTGTCATCCCTAGAACTGCACCACTTTCCCAGCCAGGATTTAAGCACTTGCATTGTACTAGGCATGAAGTAAACACTCTTACAAGGCTCTTAGGGACCTGGCCTTGGACTAACTGTCTGACATTATCTCTTCCTCTCCTGCTCATGTTATTGTGACCACATGAACTTTCCTCCAGCTTTCAAACAAGGCAGAGTCCTTTCCTAACTTAGGCCCTTTGTGCCTGGTGCACCCTTTGCCTGAAATTCCCTTCTCCCAGCTCTTCCATGGCTGGCTCCTTCCTATACTCAGGTATAAGCTAAATCTTAATTCCTTGGTCTCAAAACCTTTCTTATCCACTTTTAGTAAGTAGGTTTCAGGCCTCCAATTTTTTTTTTCTGTCACAGATCTCTGTTCCTTAAGAGTTCTATGGCTTCACTGTTCAGTTACTGAACTTGATTTCTATTTTAAGCTTTCATTCCACTTCTGGGAGAAATGATACTAATCGTTTTGGGGTTTCCCTTGGCATTAGTCATCTCAGACTACCATAACAGAATACCATAAGTAGATGGCTTAAACACCTGAAATTTCTCATAGTTCTGGAGGCTGGAAGTCTGAGATCAGGACACCAGCAGGGTCGGGTTCTGGGGAGGGCTCTCCTTGGCACTCACAGTCGGCTGCCTTCTGCTATGAGAGAGAAACTTCTCTGGTGTATCTTCGTATCAGGACATGCATTTTTTTGGATAAGGGCCCCACCTCTATGGCCTCATTTAAGCTGAATTAATACTTTAGTCCATATATAATCACATTAGAGGTTGGGCTTTAAGCACATTAATATTGTGGAGACACAATTCAGTGACACAGCCTACAGCAACCTCTCTCTCCCTGACTCCAACCTCTGAAGAGCTTACAAAGTTCTGACGTTCACAGCCGTGGATGGAAATGGGGTCAGGTATAACCTGGTCCTTCAAGTCTACCGCCCTCTCAGAGAACCTCACTCCCAGGAGGTCGCTGGTCCCCACAGGTCACTGTAGCACCTCCTTGAGTTGGGGTATTATAACTTCACAACTGTAAATCTCTCCATATATCCCTCTTGGTTTCCAGAGGGCCTGATCCTAGAGGGACCACAGTGGAATCTCAGGAAATAGTGGAACTGAACTGACTCATCCCTGAGACCTCTGGGCCTCCAATGAGATCTGAAAGAAACCTGTATGTCCACGCTGACTCTGAGGCCCACGCTAGGATTACTAGAAAGCCCAATATGTCATTTAAGTCCCTTAAAAGAGTAAAAGTCACTGCTATGTGTCCTCCCCACAGTGGTTTACAGACAGTAGCAGCTCTTACCCTCCTTTGGCTCCCTTATCCTGCTATGGTCCACAGAGGACAGTCACACATTTATCGCATTGCAGTTTTGTACACACCCACTCCACCTAGTGTGGCAGAGAATTTCAGAGTCACAAGAGGCTTTGGAGACCATTAAATTCAAGGTGTGAATTTTATAGATGAATAAAGTGAGATCCAGAGAGAGGAGACAAATTACTCAAAGTCACACACAGCAAGTTACCACGGTTGGGACTAGAACACAGGTCACTTGACATCAAGTCCCGTGTCCTTCCACAGCACACGCAGAGGACACCACATGACCCCATGAGCCGTGTCGATTCTGAGCGCCAAGTCAGATCCGTGGGCTTTACAGGTTCCACATACCACTGGCTTTATTTCCAATGTTGGCAACAGATGTAATATACATGTAGTGCTGTGCTTACATCACGTTGGCCCTCTGCTGTTCCCATGTACCAGGTCACTTACACTTACCATGTTTCATGTTGGTTACATGTATTCTACTGGGTCCTGTGACACTATGGTAAATTATATTTATTATTTGCTCCTTCCCCGTAGAGCAATTACACATGCCTGCTTGTTGCCCTGTGACTTGCACTACTTCTCTGTGAGAGAAAATACTTCCTGCCTCTTTGCCCTTGGCTTGACCATACAGCTGGCTTTGGCCAACAGCATGTGAACAAACAGATGTGTTTCAATTCTGAGAAACCTTAGGAGTCATCTTGTGTTTTAGCTGAGGGTCCATTCCTCTATCAAAAGAATGGCATGTTGCAGATAAGGACTTCTCCTTCAGGGTGTTTCTGAGACTGCAGAAGGCCACCGTCAGTCTGTAACTAACAGAGAACATGAGCAATAATGAACTTTGGCTGCTGCAAGTTACTGATGCTATGGGCTTGTTACTGCACCACAAGGTGGCAACCTGATCAAGACAGCCATGTTGGTTTCATGTACGTTTGTGCCACTGACCAAGTACTGTCTTGGTTCAAATGCACAATGCTGGTTACATACGCATGGTTTTCCCTTCTTCATCGTTGGACATTCTGCCCCAGGCCTCTGCTGGCTCCCAGTTCACTAGGCCACCCTACCATGACCCATCACTCTAAGAAATGCCTCCTTGATGTCCTTGTTCCTGAGACTGTAGACCACAGGGTTGAAGAGGGCAGTGAAGACATTGTAAAAGAGTGAGATCAGCTTGTCTCGCTCAGAGGAATAGCTGGAATTGGGCCTCAGATAGATGTAAGTGGCTGGACCATAGAAGAATGTGACCATGGTCAGGTGGGAGGCACAGGTGGAGAAAGCCTTGCAGCGGCCCCGAATGGACTTGATCTTGAGGATGGCCAGGGCAATATGAACATAGGAGGCCACAATGACAGACAGTGGGGAAACATCCAGAAAGACACCGATGACCAGGTCCACCATCTCAATGAGGTGAGTGTCCATGCAAGCCAAGCTCCGTACCGAGGGGCCTTCACAGAAGTAGTGGTTGACCACGTTTGGCCCACAATAGGGTAGCCTCATGGTGAAGAAGGTGTGGATCAGAGAGAAGAAGAAACCACAGGCCAATGTCCCAGCTGCCAGCCATGTGCACAGGCCCCAACTGAGGATGACAGTATAACGCAGTGGGTGGCAAATGGCCACATATCGATCATAAGCCATGACTACAAAGAAGGTGCCCTCAGTCAGGCCCAGGGCACCAAACACGTACATCTGCAGCCAGCAGCCAGCAAAGGTGATGGTCTGAGAGCGAGTGAGAAGATGGACTAGCATCTGGGGCACGGTGGTGGTGATGTAGGCCACGTCGATGAGGGACAGGACACACAGGAAGAAGTACATGGGCGTGTGGAGGTGTGTGTCCAGGAGGATCAAGATGACAATGAGCTCATTGCCCAGGACTGAGCTCAGGTACAGGAGAAGGAAGGCAACGAAGAGGGTCCTGTTGGTTGTGGGGTCCCTGGAGAAGCCAAGCAGTATAAACTCAGAAACCCAGCTCTCGTTCTGCCCTGGAAGCATCCACATGGCGGGGCCTGCAGGAAAGTCACACTTGAGTAAAGTTCATCTAAGGCAGGGTTTCTCAAACTTTTTAAACAGGGGGCCAGTTCACTGTCCCTCAGACTGTTGGAGGGCCGTTGGAGACTGTGGCGCACATTCCACACATGCGCACTGTGGGCTTGGGACCAGTCGGCTTAAGCAGGACCGGCAGCGGTGGCAAAAACACCCAGCAGGCCAGAGAAATGTCCTTGGCAGGCCGCATGTGGCCCGCGGGCTGTAGTTTGAGGATGCCTGAGCTAAGCTATAGTAGCCTGGCAAGAATGCCAACTGAGCAAGCAGACGGGCTGGGATTTTCCGTGGCCCCACACTCATTTGCTCTGTTATCTTAAAGGAGGTACTGAACCTCTCTGAGCCTCGGTCTTCTCAGTCTGTAAAATGTGGCTAATAATAGCCACCTCTCGGGATGTGTATGAGGAGCAGAAGCAAAGTATATGAAGCATCTGATGCAATGCCTCAAAAAGCAGTAACATGACACATAAAATGTTCCAGTACAATCTCCCACTCAACTCCTCACGCCTCGGTAGAAAACTGGGCACTCACATGTCTAGCAACAATGAGTTCACACCACATCAGCCCCAGCCCCCAAACCTCTTAGAGATGGAGTTTCCCTCCCCCTTAGAAACATTGGTGTGGATGTGCCCTATGCCTCTCCTCACACCTTGTAAACACTGCCCCGTTGCCAGCAGGTGCGCTGGGAGGCTTGGTGAACAGAAAGCAATGGTGAGCACTGTCGTGTGAGGGTTAGGGTTAGGGTTAGGGTTAGGGTTAGGGTTAGGGTTAGAGTTAGGGAAGGTACTGCTGCTTCCAGCTTCACTTCTCCTTCCTCATTCAGCTTGCGAGGAGTGGACTGGTGTGTGGAAGGGCCAGCAGCACTCACTTCACCTGACCCCAGTGGACCCACACTAGCCGCACTGTCCCCACCTAGTGGCTGCTTTCCCGGGAGCTCTTGCAGGCTGCTTCCATGGCAGCTCCGGCCCCACATTCAGCCACATGCTTCCCTGTCTGGCAGCCATTTCCAGAGACCAGCCCTTGCCACACTCTCATGCGGTACTTTCCTTACACAGTGGCCACTTCAGTACAAGCTCTGCCCTGTGCCCAGTAGTGGGCCATGCCTGCCTGTGAGTCACGCCCTCTCTGAAAAAGTCTAAATCTCACACTAACTTCTTTTTCTTTTCTTTCTATTTTTTTTCTTACTTCCTATTTCTGCATCTCTTAAAGTTCTCTTTCAAACTTTTGGTACTCACCTTTTACTAATCAATAATTCGTCTAGAGTTCCTGGCCTAAACCGATTTTCCCACCTCTGCCTTCCAAACTGCTGGGGTTATGGCCGTGAGCCACTGTGCCTGGACAATTCACAATATGTTATATTGAATTTTCTCTGTTCAAATTACTAGTATGTTCTGTCTCCTGACTGGATCCTGACTGATACAGATGCTAAATTTATGGAGAGTCAGTTCCATAAGGAAGAGAATATCTACATAGTTTGAAGCTATCTATCCACAAAGTACTTATTATTTACAAAAATAAATAATAGGAAATATACAGTGGAGAAACTGAACCACATCTTAAATGAGTGATCATAATTAATATCACCAATAAGGAGTAAATAGGCATAATATATCTCCAGATATGAAGTACTAAGAAGAATGCACCATCTATATTTCAGCTAAAAATGTAAAACATGAATCTAATGATGAAGAAATATTAAAGAAATCCAAATTGAGGAATGGTGCATAAAATAGCTAGTTTCCAATCTTAATTAATATTAGTCATGACAAACAAAGAAATGCTGGGAAATGTATAGCCTTAAATGTATATACTGGCATAGATGAAGGGCTGAAAATTCATTAACTAAACTTCAATCTCAAGAAGCTAAAAAGTAAACAACAACTATAAATCAAACCCAAAAAGAGGTTACAGGAAGAAAACAAAGATAAGAGCAGAAAACAATGAAATGGCAATTAAACTAGCAATAGAGAAAATTCAACAAATCTAAAAATTGGTTCTTTAAAATACTTATAAATAATAAATTGATTCGTTTTTTAGCAAGAGTGATAAAAGAAACAAAGTGACAATATCAACAATGAAAAAGAGAACATTACTGAAGGTCCTATAATCAGTTAAAAGATAATTGAAATAATTACAAACAACTTTATGCTGGTAAATTTGACAATTTAAATAAAATGAACAAATGTCTGAAAAAATACAAATTACCAAAACTAACACAAGAAGAAATAAAATTCAGAGAAGTCCAATATCTCTTTTAAAAATAAATCTATAATTTAAAACCTTCATGGGAAGAAAACTCCCAGATCACTTAACTGTTGAATTCTTCCAATATTTAAGAAAGGAAAAATACTAACTCTTCCAAAGAATGAAAAAAGTGAAAACATCTCAATGCATTTTATAAGACCTGCATAAACTTGATGCCAAAAAATAACAAGGACGTTACAAGAAGGAAAACTTACTCACCAGTCACTCTCTTAAGCATAAGTAGTTGCAAAACTACTAAACAAGATATCAGCTATTGAATTCAGCAATGTATAAAAGAGAATACATCACAATCAGATAGGGTTTGTTATGAGAATTCAAGGTTGGTTTAGCACTTGGTAATCAATGTCATTCACCACATAGTAGAAGTAAGCAAGAAAATTATATGACTATCTCTCAGTAGATGCAGAAAAAGTATTTGATAAAATTCAATAATTATTTATTATTAGGAATTAACCTCCTTCTATGAAGATGGATACTTTGAAAAAGTAAAAAGAAATTAACTTCTTAATAAACTAGGAAGAGACAAGAACCTTCTTAGTGTGATAAAAATTATTTTCAGTAAAAGAAGAAACAACCTATAGCAAACATCATACCAAATGGTAAAATATTGTTAACTTATTCCCTAACAATGGAAATGAAACAAAATGCTTCCTATTACCATTTCTATTAACCATTGTATTGGTGGTCCTAGCTAGTGAAATAAATCAACAGAAAGAAATAAAATGATTGGAAAGGAAGAAATAAAACTGTCATTATCTGCTGACTACATGATTATGTAGGTATACAATATAAAAGAAACTGAAAACAAATTATAAGCAACTGGACACAAAAAATATGCAATAACATTTTAAACAATAAGCATGTGGAAATAAATCTAATAAAATATGTGTAAAACAATATTTAGAGAAATTTAGGAAGACCTCAGTAAATAGAGGGATATGCCATGTTCATGGGATGAATAAGTAACATTGTAAAGATGTTAAGTTGATTTATAGATTCATTATAATCCTAGTCAAAGCACCAGCAGTTTTGTTTTGTGTTTTTGCAGAAATTCACACCATAGTTACAAAATTTATATGAAAATCTTGAAGGAAAAAAATGTTTCCCGATATAAGTCTGAAAACTTATATAACAGATATCAGACTTACTACAAAATGGAAATAAGTGAGTGTGACATTGGCACAAGAATAAACAGAGAGATCGATGGAATGGAGTACACCTAAGGAACAGACCCACGCATATATAGTCACTTGATTTATAACACAGTTGATCCTACAAGGCAATGGGGAAAAGATGATCTTTTCTTTTTTCTTTTTATTTTATTTTATCATATTATGGGGGTACAAATATTGTTAAGGTTACATATATTGCCTGTGCCACCCCTCCACCCCCAGTCAGAGCGTCTGCGTCCATCCTCCAGGTGGTGGGCATCGCACTCAATATGTAATTACACCCAGCCCCTCCTCCCCCCTTCCACCTGCCTGGTACCCAATAAATGTTTTGGGGTTTTTTTTTGACATTGTGGTTACATTTTATATCCTTGCCTCAACCTAGGAAGGGTTAGAGGTATGCCCTTCCCCTCCACAATGCTCACTACATCCCTCAGATCTAGGTCTACCCCCCCAACCCCTGGTAAATACTACCACCATTTAAGCACCATAGTTTTAATCAGTCAGTACCAATTTGATGGCGAGTGCATGTGGAGCCCATTTTCCTGATCTTGTGTTGCCTCACTTTGGATAATGGGCTAAAGCTTAATCCAGGATAATATAAGCAGTATGATCTTTTCAATAAATGCTGTGGGACCATGGGGATACTCAGACAGAAAAATAAATGTTTCCTCCCACTTCAAATATTACACAGAAATAAATTTCAGATGTACTGTAGATGTAAATGGTAAATGTAAAGCAATCAAATGTTTAGAATCAAACACAGAAAAATATCTTTATCCTCTCAAAGTAAGCAAAAAATTCCTTAAATAGAACACCAAAATTCTGACCATAGAGAGAAAAATGATAAATCAGAATGTATTACAAAGAAGAACTTGGAATATTTATATCCAGAATAAATAGAGAATTCTTACAACATCAGCAAGTAAACAGACTGCCCAATAGACTAATAGGCAAAAGATTTACAAAGACACTTGACGAAGAGACTATCTAAATAACCATTCCTCAAGTGAAAAAGTCATCTCATAATTGCAAATGAAGACCGCAGTGTAGCCCCACTACATGTCTATCAGAAAGACTAAAATGAAATATACCTAGTGTTGTCCAGAACAACTAGAACTTTCTTACACTGTGATGGGAGTGTAAATTTGAACAATCTCTTTAGAAAATGGTTAGCAGTATCTCCTAAAGTTGAACATACACAGACCACATTACCCAGCAATTCTATCCTACCTAGATTCCCACATACTCACACATACGCACATACATATGTTCAAGAAAAGATGCACAAAAAAGGTTCCAAACACTAGTAAAAATATGTTACCCCCAAGTGTCGGTCCACAGTACAATGGATAAAACATGGAGATACATTCAGGCAGAGGTTCCCTTTGGTGGGGACAGAGGACAGAGGAGACATCCAGCCATCCTCGGGGTTCACTTGCCCTGCGCCACCCCTTTCCCCGGCCAGTCCACCACGTACCTGTCCGTACCACACACAGGCATAATGTCCACACAGGTGCTCCC